ATGGCAGACTTATCTGCAAGACCAAGCAGCTGTATCAACCTCAACCTAGCACGATGTTGTGGGGGAGAGCATCCAAAGCCCAGTTCTGCACCCGTGACTCCGTCTTGGAAGTTGCGTCGTGGGAGATTTCTAGCTCGTCTCTACGTTCTTTAACTCTTTTACGTCTCTTCTCCATCTTGAAGCCCAGCGTTTGCCTCTCGGAAACACTCCATAAACCGGACATAGCCCAAAAGCAACCGCAAAAGTAGACGTTGTAGGACATTATGGGTGATCTCTTGCACACTTTTTCGGCAACGAAGGCGCACTTTGCCCCTTAACTGTTTTCGAACACCACTACCGACCTACTGTGCCTGTGGAGTGTTCCTTTAATCCCTTTGAATGAGGCTTTCTATATAAGTCCGAATTCAGTTTTCATAACTGAATTTGGCCTGCTCAACAAAATTGCATAGCCGAGCTCTGATCATGTCTGGCTGCAAATTGTTCACTTCATTATAGTGAAAAGAATAATGCTCTCCAGAACAAAGGGGATAGAGAACTGGCAGTGGTGATGTCATGTGCTTGGCAGAGTTCGATTCGGACTGATCTCTAGAATAAAAAAGGAATTGTATTTATAAAGAATCTACACATTTGCATTTGGTGATAAAAAGACCTTCGAATTCGCCAGAGGTTTTGTGAGAAAGGTTCAAGGAGCACAGGTCTGCTCTCAAACCATTCCTCACAAGGGCTGTGAAAGATTGGAGAGCCTGATTTTTTGGCAGCCTAGAATGAACTTACATGCAAGCATAACTTCACTGGCGGTGACGATTTTTTCATGGAATGCTTTTACAGCAGCATGGTCGAGGGAACGGCTGTCCACATCTAAAGATGGTCGTGTAATATTCGATTTAAGATGTCACGCCGATGAATTCCATGGGCATTGGCCATAGAGGAAGATTCATTTCTGGCCGGTTGCCCTGACCTACTGTAGCACTTCAGTGTAATCTCAACCAAGTTGCAGTGGTAAGTTCAAAGCGAGTAATTGAAAATGCGACATTTCTTCGCTTTTTTGCTTCTTAGATCGCAAACAAATGTTATTTTTGGGGCGGGTATAGAACAGTCAGAAGAGGAACAAGTGTACCTTTCATATG